GTAAAAATAATTCTAGTTACATTCCAGAATGCTTTTGGAAGGATTTAGTCTTCCCTGGGGATAAACTTTGCTGTACAGAAAAATATTATAGAGATTTGGTTTTATCCTTATTACTGTTCATTATCTTCTAGAATAAGAAGAAATCATATGCTCTTTTCTATCTCTAAGTCATCAGAAAAGAAGTTAATCATATTCCTTCAAGGCTGCAAAAAGAATAGCTAGTGGAAGCATCATTATTGATGATGTTTCTGTTAAAACTACTTACAGTCCATTCAAAACAGACAAGCAAATGCCACCTGCCAAGATGGGAACAAGGAGAAACTGTAGTTTATCAGCTATCTGAAATAACCTGGTGCAATTTATTTGTTCTTCAAATTGTATGAAGCACTGTGCTGACATGTCCCTCTGGACAGGACCCAGTCCTGTTTGAAAGTCTCTGTAGAAAAGCCTCATTTGCTTTTCAAGGCTATTAGTGAGTGTTCATAACAGCAGGCCTGGAGCTCAGTAGTTCCCACCACGTGCTCAGGACAGACAGCTGTAACTCTTGCAGTTTTAAAGCCTTTTGTTAGATGGGCAACAGTTTGTGTTAGTGAAGGATTTTCTCACTAATTTTGCAAAGCAGGATATGTAAATGCCAAACTGTATACAAATATTCATGTGCTTGCCTTTTCTTCTTTGCAGAATCACTCTGCCTCTATGACTGAAGTAACTTGAGATGGGAGATTGGCAGAACGAAGCTATTTTTTACTACCCTCCAGTACAATACTCCAAGACACACAGTTACTAAATGTCTAACTGTGATGACCAGTATTATGTTATGTCTAGTTAGAGGCTAATGTTTTGTACTTTTTTTGTATGAGGAAGTGATGTAGCTTGCCCTGATTTTTTGTCAGCTTTAATATTATTATGCAAGACTTTAAAAGCAAAACAGAAAAAGAAAAAAAAACCTTTTCTTGTTTAAAGTGTGCACTGAGGAACTACATCTATGGAATTGTTGATGTTGTTATGTGATATTTGTACACAATTTTTTTTTCATTTTGGAATTTATATATCTTGAAAAACAAAATTCACTTTTACCTTTTCTTACCATAAGAAGTGCTTCTACCAGTGGAGTCTGATTCTGATCTGAGTAAGCTCAGCCCAGACCTGAAGTAATTGCATATATTTAATTCATATTAAAATAATGATGATCAGAAATCTAACCTGAATGATACTATCAACAAGTAACAAAAATCCATCCTTGATTCAGTGAGCTACTTAAGGATTCCTCAGACATTATGGACTTCAGTTAGCCATCCCGTTTCCAGACTCCTTGGCAGGCTTGAGCCATGTCGTTAAGCACCTCACTGAATCAAAGCCTGATTGTTCTGGTGTGGGTGATTGTGCTGGTTATTGAAGAATAACTAAAACAACATCCTCAGTCTGCAATATAGACAGACTGGATGTGAAAATTTATAGTAGTAGCTGATAGCATGTGAGCTGACTATATCATCTCCCTAGATCTTCATTCCTCCCCGAGGCCCACCTAAAGCTCCCAGTGAAACCTGGCTTCAGGAATTGACTATGGGGATATACAGCCACCACTGTGGAGCTGAGGCTGCGCTTTAAGTGTTTCATCACTTCATCATAGATTTGTGGGGTAACTAGTGACACTGGTGCACAGGGAAAATGACACCACTTCTTCAGCGGAGCGGCACTCCTTGGCATTCGGATTGGCATAACCAAGAAGCCATTTATTGGCATTTGGATTGGCAAAACGAAGCAGCCAGTTTGGCCCCCACAGTGTATTTTATCTTGAGGGGCTTTGGCAACTAAAAAAACAGCAAAAAGAAAATAAAAGACTGACAGTCTGCATTTTTGTAAATTCTGCCATACAGAATTTATACCGAAACTGCTATTTTACCATTTGACAACTTTGTCTAAGGATTATAAAGACAATTAAGTATGGGTTGGGGGTGGGGGAGAAGAACAAAAAAAGCCCATTTTAAATGGCTAGAACTGGGGCAAAGGCTTCATTACATGATTTTTTCACTGTTTCTAGATCTTCCTGCATCTCATTCTTATAGCATGGTGATAACTGCTGTGTGTCTCCTTTAAAGAACGGAGCCTCTGTCTGTACTTTTATTGGAATGTTTACCTCACATTTCCATGTTGGTTCTTCTTGGCTTTTTTTTTTTGTATATTTTTTTCCAAAACAGAAGCGAAAAAAAATTATCAAAAAAGCAAACATGTAGCCCTGTCTCTGTCATTTGCCTGTGACACAAAAGAAAGTCTGGGATGTCTGTTTGTGTCTGGTCTTGTGGTGTTTCTTCCAGGTTAGTATTTTCCTCTGACTCTACCAATGTCTGTTTCAGGCTTAGGGACAGAAGGATCAGACTTGGGCTGTGCAGGCTTTCTGTGACCATGAGGAGCTACTGATAAGTGTTCTGGATTCCTCACTACAACTTTGAACCAAATTTCAGAAGGAAAAAAAATCTCTTCTGAATCACTCTGTTAAGAAATACCCTCCCAAGGAGGTTTTTTCACACTTTCTGTCTTTACTGGTTTGGCCTAAAACAAACAAAGATGCATGAGCAGAGATTTTGTTTATTTATTTATTTATAATTTAATTTAGTAGAAATGTCCTTTTGGAAGCCCAAGGATTAAAAAGTGACTTAGCACTTAGAAGTCTTACCCCTTGCATGGCACAGGTATTCTGTGCAAGACTGATCTCATTTCAGATTTCTGCTTTTTCAGCTTGTTACAAAGAGTTAAATGTTTGCATCTCAAGCATCCATGTCTGATCCTCTTCCCTGGTACTTCAGTCTCTGCTGCTTCCCTGCTGACAGAAGCATGAGGTTTGCACCTCAAAGGGACCGAACTATCTGAGATCAGGGAAACAGCAGTTTGACTCAACTCAGACACAGACAGCTGCTGTCATGCTCCTTTCTTGCCTGTCCTAATTTTCAGTCTTGGGTTTTTCACTTTATTCTTATTACATTACCTGAGCTATCGAAGTTACATCCTAGGGGAGACACAGAAAAGGGGATGGGCACAAAATGCAACTACCACTTAAAGGGCTTTTTTAGATGGAGTATTAAGAGGAAACAAGGAAGTGCAAGGATCTCTGGTTTTGACGGAAAGAAGATACAATTTCATGAAAAAATACTTCCCAACTCATTGTTCCCAAACAGTCTCTGAAGCAGATGAGATGAGACAGATTTAGCTATTTGTCACACTGTGATTTTCCATAGGCTACAGGAGAGACATTTGTGAACATTCAGCCTTCCACAGTGACCAGTGAAACATCCCCAGTTCCCTCACATTCACCTCACAGTGGAACACATAGTAATACACTTACACTATTCTGTAATTCTCCAAGACCCAAAAGGAGACAAGAACAGGTTTCTTAAATTTCTTCAGAGCTGTGAGAAGAAAGCAGCACTTGAGAAGTTTGTTCAGTCAAGAAACTTAGTACTGTAACACACAAAAGCAGCAGTGCCTAAGTGTGCTTCAGGCATCTGCACGTTGAAAGAAACCAGGGGTGCAAGGCTGCAGGACAGTGAGTGGAATAACCAGGACATTTCTGGATCATTCCCGGAAAAATTACACATATAGACTCTAACCTCACTGTAAGCAACTGGTTTCATAGAAAACATCTACAAAGTAGCACACATTTCTCAAACTGTTACATATTTTCTTGTCCCCCTGACTTCACTGCTTGCCTCATCTGATCAAAAGCAGACCTGCATCATCAGTTACACGGGTCACATGTAAGAAAAACTAACAGCTGTTAGGAGCCACAGAACTGAAAAAGTGGGGTCCTCGACAGACATTGAAAAATTCAGCAAACTGCCTTGACAGCGGTTGTTTTTACACGGCTGTTGGAGCCTTCACCATTACTGAGTTCAGAGATGTCAGAATTCTACTTGGCCTTATCTTCATGTAGCAATTCTGAGCAGAACAAGTGGTTTTATTTTACAATGACACCTGTAATAGCTTTACAAACCTTACTGCTGACAGGGTCTTATTTTCAGTCTCACGGAAAGAAAAAGTTATGATGGTTTACCTTCTCCCTCCTTCCCCAAGTTTGTCAGGCCTGCTAGTCTTGGTGGCAGAGTTAAACATAGCTCCTGACACAGCCCAACTCCACGTGCAACGTTCCCACTACACAGCTCAGAACTGAAGACAAGAAGTTTACGAAGTTGTCGTGGTTTAACCCCAGCCAGCAGCCAAGCCCCACACAGCCACTCGTTCACTGCCCCACCAATGGGAGATCAGGGAGAGAATTGGAATGGTAAAAGCTAGAAAATTTTGTGGCTTGAAATAGAGTTTAATAGGGAAAGCAAAAGCCACACACACAAGCAAAGCAAAACAAGGAATTAATTCACTGATTCCCATGGGAAGGAGGTGCTCAGCTGTCTCCAGAGCAGGGCCCCATCACACAAAGCTGTTACTAGAAAAGTCAAATGTCATCTCTCCAAACATCCCCCCCATCGCTCCTTTTTCCTCCCGCCTCATATACTGAGCATGATGTCATATGGTATGGAATATCCCTTTGGTCAGTTTGGGTCACTTGTCCCAGCTGTGTCTCCTCCCAATCTCCCATGCATCCCCAACTTCCTTGCCAGTGTGGCAAGCAAAGGCCTTGGCTCTGTGTGAGCTCTGCTCAGCAATAGCAAAAACATCTCTGCATTATCAACCTTGTGTTCAGCACAAATCCCAAACATAGCCCCATACTAGCCACTGGGAAGAACGTTAACACTGCCCCAGCCCAAACCACGGAGGTTCCCCCTGTTTATCCCCACTGGTCCCTGTAGCTGTTTGGCAGCAGGGGAAAGACCAGAAAGCAAATGGCACAAGAGCTTCAGCTCTTTTTTCCATACAGACCAAACAGAAACAATGAAACCGGAGGGTAACTCAGTGAATTTTTATTAGTGACATTCACATATTTCACCCCAATGAAAGGGCTCTGCTGCTGCTCTGCAGCCCTACGACAGGATGCAGAGTACAGAGTTGACTCAGTGCTCCCAGGTAATCTTCAGGTTGGGGGGCAGCTCTACTGCACGCAATTCATCCAACTTGGTCATGTCCTTCACGGGAGTGCGATAGAATTCCAACACATCCTTGGCACAGCACATCAGGTGCAGCTGTGAGTTGGGGACAGCATGACCCAGTTCTGTGGCCAGCTGAGCCAGGAGGAAGTATTTTAATCTGTTCTCCTTGAGGGGTGTCTGCTGCCAGTTACCAGAGAGCGAGGGTCCAAAAACCTTTCTGACATGGGACTCGAGGCAGCTCTCCAGGTTCTCCGGAGGGAGATAGCTCCAGCTGCGCCGAGGGTGACAGACCAGGCTGGGCTCACTCCTCTCTTCTTTTTTAGGAATTACTTCCTCTGCTTCTACCTTTTTTTCCTCATTCCTGTTGGCACCAGAACAGAAGCACTGTCAATCTCTGAGCTGCTTAAGACTGAGTAATAGCACATCTGTATTCCTGGTGTTTCAAACCAGACTCAATCCAGACAGTTCATATACCCTGGGGACACAGCAGGTCCATTATCCATGAAAAACAATAGTGCAAACACCCAGGGTTTGGCTTTCCCCCGATGCTGCTCCCCACACAGCAATCACCCACCCACCTAGCTTATTTCATTGGTCTGAGTGGAAACAGCATTTTTAACCAAATTACTTGTTTTCCCAGTTACAGCTCCATTTGCTAACCTGCTGTGAAAGAAAGGATAACAGAAAATAAACACTACTACTGAAAAAAATCAGTGCTTACATGTAAAACAATTATCATCACTAGTTTTGACCAGAAAACTTGACTTGCTCAGACGCCACAAGCTAGCCAACAACTCATGCATACTTTTATCTAAACCATTATACAGGAACTACGATTTTTCATCCCCATTCTAGTGCTGGTCTGAAATATCTGCTTTTCCACACCTAACAAGCACAGGTAACTGCACTGAAGCCTCTGACCCTGCACCATCACAGCTGCCAGTCTGCAGTGCACCTCGCTGGGCCTTTGTGGCACAGGGTGGAAAAGGCCTCTGAGATCACCAAGTCCAACCTATGACCTAACACCACCGCGTCAACCAGGCCATGGCAGGAAGTGCCACATCCAGTCTCTCCCTAAATTCCTCCAGGGACTGTGACCCCACTGCCTCCGTGGGCAGTGCATTCCAGTGTCTAATCAGCCTTTCTGCGAAGAAATTCTTCCTCCCGTGCAACCTAATCGTCCCCTGGCACAGCTTGAGACTAAGTCCTCTCATCCCGTCACTAGCTGCCTGGGAGAAGAGACTGATCCTCATGCCCTTCCTTTCAGGTCGTTGTAGAGAGTGAGCCTCCTCTTCTCCAGGCTAAATAAACCCAGCAGGCTAAACACCCCCAGCTGGCTCAGCCTCCCCTCACAGCCTCGTCCTGGGCCTACAGACGTGCCGATGCCGCCTCGGCACAACCCCGCGGGCCGCG